TTTATATTGCACGATTGCTAATAATTGGCTCAAAGTCATGACAAAGCTTATAGATCAGATTAGAACACGGTGTTATTTAATTTGTCACCAACGATGTTCTTTGGTTATTATAGGGAGGCTAGGCAGGTGGACTTGCTTTTAGCACCCCCTAGTGTCCGTTTGTAGGACCTAAACCAGGCGTGAGGAACCCTGGTCATCCAGGGCCGGTATCCTGCATGTCTTTGCTCCAACACTTTCGGTTAAGTAGTTGACTCACCTGTTCAGCAGCTCATCAGGCTCTGCAGAAGCCTGTTAATCACCTGATGATTGAAATCAGGTGTGTTGAAGCAGGGCTGAAACTAAAATATGTTTATGTTTATTCACTTAGCAGACGCTTTTATCCAAAGCGACTTACAATTTCTAACCTATAGGGCATGTTGTGAACTGTGGGGGAAACCGGAGTACCCGGAGGAAACCCACGCATGCATGAGGAGAACACGCAACTCCACTCAGAAAGGCCGCAGCCGAGTTTCGAACCTGCGACCTTCGTGCTGCGAGGCAACAGTGCTGACCACTGCGCCACCATGCAAAATATGCTGGATAGCGGCCCCCGGTGGACCAGGGTTCCCCATCCCTTGACCTAAATCAAAGCCAAACGTCGTTGCTATGCGATCGTCTTTTTAACACCTTAATCTAACAGCTGAAACGTCTCCCAACCTTCCTTAATGTCTAGAAGAGTGACTCATCACTAAATTAAACCAATCAGCTGTGTTCATGATCTAAAACATGCAGGAAACATGCTGGAGCCAGACTGCTACGCCAGGTATGCCAGCTCCTTTTTTTCCAAGTCCAACAGACCGGACCAGCAACTGTGAAGTTGTAAGTGTGATGTTCTGGCCACAGGGGGCGATAGGGGCTGAGTGGCATTTCAGAAACCCTCTAAAGGGTCCTTTTAGCACAGACTCGCTCAAGAAAATGATTTAGAAATATGAAAAAGTTGCAAAGTACCCCTTTAAAAAGTGAACCAAATCACACGATCACAAAAACTTATCCCAAATGTCTAATCTGTGTTGCCTTCACCTCAGGCTCGTGTTTACTGGTTGACAGTTTGATGAGTGATTGGATTGGCAACAGGCTAATTCATTGGTCATCACACAGATGATTGATTTTCCTGGCAAACAGACAAATATGTGTTTTCAGAATGATCGAAAGGAGAAAAGGGCGGCGCAGGTGGAGTTTTACCTCGCCAGACTTTATATTGTTTTTTTTTTTTTTTTAGCTCTGGACTCAGTCAGCTGTGCTGCAGAAAGTCTTCCAGTTTATATTTGTTGTGTCTGCCTGAGCGGTACAGTCTGCCCTTTGGCGTCTCTATCGCTGTCTCAGCAGACAAATAAAAGACAGCACACTCTACAAGGAGAGAGGAGGCTTCACACACTTTCTAAAACACATATTTTGTGACCTTCCACCTAGACCAGGCTGCAGCCCTCGGTGGGAGTTCTGGGAAGTGAAGAGGGACAGCAAAAGCTTACGTTTCATTGTCCTTGGTGGGAATACGTACTACTGTATCAGTTTTCACCACCAAAGCTCTGCCAGTTGCTTTGCTTTTGTCACTGCTCTCGAACAGGACTGTTGCATTCAGCAGAAGGGCATGTTTGTTTTATTTTGTATTAAACACGCAGCTCATTTTGGCTACAAAAAAACTTACGGTGCACATCAGAAAGTTCACTTGCAGCATCAGTGCATCTGTTGTGATTTTGTCCTTTTCCGGCACCAAGGTTTAGAGCTCATCCAGAGAACTCATAGATAAAATCGCCGTCCTTGAGAAGAGACGACTTCGACATTTTTGTAGCAGAAACATTTCACTAAAAAGTTCATCACAAAGCTGGACGGCTGACTCAGTCTGAAAAATTGCATTTCTCTCCGTTCCTGAGCCCGCAAAGCTTTCTGCCAGGACGTGTCCTGTTCCATTTTAGAGAAACTGATACCTCATTAGAACCTCTGGTGTGCTGCTTGTTATACTGAAAGTCGAGGTGTTGCTTCCTGTTTTCTAGCGAGGTAGACAGAGTTCTTTATTTTCTCTGTGATGCAACTCCATCATTTCCTTTTTTCTGTGATGCTCCCTGTGCCAGTCGGACTAAAGTCTTTAAGGAGTCAGCAGCAAAGCAGTGACACTGAGACGGATACCCGATGTGCCGTGTTTGACACCGAGTCTGGAGGTTGATGAAAACATTGAAGAGATAGTCATCATAAAACGACCTCTAAAAGGCACAGTCGGGGAAGTGTGGAGAGTTTGGGGGTGAAGGGTATTACATCCTGTAATGGATACAGATCGAGTGACTTCAATCCCAGTTAAATTACCCGTCTGGCACTGACTTCTTAAGACACAGCTGGAGCGGGAGAAGTTGTGTGCATGTGTGTGTGTGTGATATGTGAGGAAGCCCTTATGATTATAAGTTGGGAGTTTCCTTAAATTCAACAAGTTGAAATCATCTTACTTATGGATTTTAACGGCTCTCCACTT